GCCAGTAGAAACAAGCAGCAGCTTGACCTGGAGACCTATGATCCAGGAATTGTGAGGTTTACCTCTGAATTTTTCCTGATAGAGCTACTTAATGATTGAATATCTGACTCAATCACATTTTTCTTTCAAAAAAGGGGAAATTCTGTGCTTGTTTGCCATGCCTAGGCCGCCCTTTGCTAGGCCTCCTTGAATGATTAAAAATAAATAAGTTCTTCATATACGAACAACAAAGCCCTTTCCCTCATTTACTAAGACTCCTAAGCAAGTTACCAGGAGTTTTGGAGACCGCTCCATGCACCACAAACTTAAAATGTAGCCATTCCTTAAGTTACTGGAGGATACAGACAGACTTCCTTTCAAGGTCTTCTCCTAACAACACATAGGGCAACCATTTACACCGAGACAAGGGAGCATGTTCTTCCCCGACACTTCTGGGATTATTTCCTCTACCCCAACCAGGGCAGGAACATGTATCCAAGTGCAACCAGTACTGCTTATCCTGCACCATACTGACAAAGGTGGAGAAGCAAAGATCTTGCTGCTGTGCTCTCTCACGCCAATCCTCCAGCCTTCCTGATGTTAAATAGCTTCAGCAGAGCTCCCTCTGTGTGAAATCTGCCAATGAACAACAGAATTACAGCTCATTCTTAATTTTGCATACTGCACAGTCTGAGCTGAGAAAGGTGTTTCAGTTCTTGCTGCCTATTTAGGCATCTGAAACTCTTAGCTCCCGTCTGAGGAATGTCCCCCAATCAGGTGCTCTAGCAAGACAAATAGCAGGCACCAATACATATGGGCTACCATTAAAGAGAAAATGACCTTTCCCCATTCTATTGTCACAACTAGTTGGTTTAATAACAAAATTCAAGCAACAAGACAAAAGATGGATACACAGTTCATTAAGTAGAGCTGAATTTGATCCTGTACTCACTGTCTGAAGGAAGCAAATTCAGACAGCAATCAATAAAAAGCTTTAAAAACAACTCTTCATGTTGTTATAAAACAACATACTCAGCTATTTCTTAAGAAAAACAGACTATTGAAAAGTTTTCTTCATTCCAAGCTACACGCACTCTCTTTACTCACCATGCTGCAAAAAAGACAAAGTTCTCTCTGTAGCCCTAAAGTTGTTTCGTATTTTCCATGCTTTGAACACAGCCATCATTAGAATCACTAATAAGAAATTACAGGCCTCAAAACCACTACGAATTGTTTCACGCTTTATTGAAAGAGAAAGACAGCAATTTTTATGCCTTTATCTCCCCAAAACGTTTACTCCTTGTATTATCATCTGAGATACTTGCAATACCTTCTACAACACCAGTGCTTATCTACATAGCATGGCACATGGAGCATTAACGATGCCATGTCTGAGATGGGATTAATCAGACTTCCCCGTTTAATAGTAATAACTAAGGCATAAAAGTACTTAGATCTACAGATCTGCCCTTTGAAACACTGGAGCCGACTAGAGCTTTCAAAGAATTTCAGTTTGTGCCTTAATTTCCCTTTTTTTTCAACCAGCAAGCCCCAGAAGCTTCTCTCCCCCTGTACTTTTGGGGTGATAATTCCTCACTGTAACATGTCACTATAACTCAGGCTTGTCTACCCAGAGTCACTGTGGAAAAGCTGAGGACCGAATCTGCTCCGGAAGCAAGGTGCTGAAGGCAGGGCTTCTGTAGAAATACAGCAGCAATAATGTGGCCACTCACACCACACCCCACTCGAGTGCCTGACACCACCAACCTGGACTCAAACCACAGGCAGCCACGGGACGGTTCCACTGCAAACCTCCCTGTCCAGCCCTGCAACAGTGGCATCCCCAGCTGCAACACGCAGGTTTGTCACAAGGCACGGCAACAAAAAGGCGCTTCTCCCTCGCCATGGGGCTTTCGTGCTCCAGCACCGAGTGTGCGTTAGCGGTGGACTCCGCGTCTGGCCGGCGCGGGCTGCGTTACCTTGTACACGCCATGCAAGGAGAGCCTCACGCTGCCACCCATGAACAGGGCAACTTCGCCTGCGCACACAGAATCATAGCAGTAATTTGGCCCAGGAGACAGAAACAGGGTTTTTCTCTCGCTGACAAACCATTACACTTATGTCTCACTATTTTGAGTGTCTACTCAGTGCTTTCCACACTGAACATTTTAGCTACAATCAATTAACAGACACTTCTATGTCACTGCCATACTTGGCAGTGGAAGCAGACTATGTATTTAAGGTTGATGGGATTTTTTTCATGCTTATGCATAGAAATTTTGCAAGTGTTTACAAACAAT